GGCGAAGTAAAATATTTCCATACCAAGTTTTTCATGGCTTTTACCTCCTTTAAAAGCATTATTGAGAAGAGCAGTGTGAAAATGATGTGTATAAACAAGTTCACAAAGTCAGCAACACTTTCATATTGAAATAGACCAAACGAAGTGATTGTTGCCGTTGGCACGAGACTCCCTACTACGGAATGATCTAGGACAATATGCACAATGCTGAACAGCTTCAGGTTGGGGTTGTAGAAGTTGATGTCGATTGACAAGGAAACTGTGTACTTGTCCAGAAATTCAGAGTCCTTCAAGGCGTGAAAGAATGACACGGCGGTGTCGTGGTTAAGAGGCAGGTCCAGGGAGTGACGGTTTGTGCAGTTGATTGTGTTGTTGGGATGATTCAGAAGATCCGGAACCGTGAATCGCCAGCAGCCAAGGGACATGTTCTGACTCCACCCGAGGCCAGCACCATTCTCCCATGTAGTGTCACCTGCATTGATGAATAAACATAATAGATCTTGCAATTGTCGGTCAACCGGAAATACGTGCTGTTATCGTTGCCATAGCCTGTGTTTATTTTGAAGTATCTATAAATCACTATTCGTCTATCGTTAGATAAGGTCGACTTGCAAAAAACATTTCTTCTGTCACTTCGTGTAGTGAATAGAAATTGGGAAAGTCCGTATGGTACAACAATGAATGTAAGAGAATGAATGTAAGAGAATGAATGTAAGAGACTTGCAGGTAACTCGCGTTTTCATTCAACATTCAAGAGGGAAAATCACAAACACATACCTGGACGTCGTCTAACTTGTATCATGCGCGGAGGGCCGACTCGGAAGGACTCGGTGTTCTGTGCAAACTGTTTGTCTAAGAACTTCATTTTCCTCCCGTTGTACCAGGCAGATGGGTAAAGGGCCGGCAGCAGGACTTCCTCAGTCCATGTATAGAACTGGTCCGGAGTTCTGATCTGTTTATACACAAATAATAACTCCTGTCAGTACGGTTATGGCACATGGGATACATCAGTTCTGACAATACACATACCTCCGTGTACGTTGTGTTCGTAAATAAACAAACGTTATTTTATGAGTATGCAATGAAACAACCGTTGCTTACTTCATCATGTCCCTGTAAAACGGCGTTGGATAGTGTCTGTGCCTCGTAGAAGACGTGCTGATCGTTGTTCGCCTGGGCGATGTAGAAGAGGACAGCCACAAAGACGGCTAACAGAAGAAACTCCTTGAGTGTCGAGGCGGACTTCTTACTAAGTTCCAGTTTCTTTCTAGCTGCTTGGCAGTCAGCTTTGGTAGGTGGGTGGATCTTCTTTGGTGCTGTAACGTAAAACGTGTGTAATTATC